CCCCTGATGTTAAACCAAGATGAGACAAAACATCAAAAGACTCCCATCAGATTTATCTGTGGGTCAGCAACGCCACCCTGTGGACATTTTATTAACTAACCCTGAAATATTTTATTTTTCACCAATGTTTTCCGTTTATAACTATAAAAAGCATCTGTGAAGTGTCAAAATAATACCTTGAAAGTTTTAACCAAAGAGAAGTTCCGTTGTGAACAGAGAGTRTTTCATTGTTCTGCCATGTAATGAGTTCTGAAGAAGCGTTTGAGGAGAAAGCAGTAGTTTTTTTAGCTCCAGCTTCCCCCATCCCRGGGCGAGGCCATTTTTTCCAACTTTTTCTCCTTTTTATGGTTTAATCTTAAGGTGCTTTCAGGAAGGAGATTTACATTGATTGAAAATGATGAGGCTGATTTAATTCAAGTCGGATGACCCTCAGTGTGCCCGCAAGGAAGCAGCCACCACCGGTGTGCTGGACATCTCCAGTGAATGCAGCCGGCAAACCAGATGACCAGGAAACTTCTACACAGCTAAGACTCGGTTGGACTTCACATGCCACCCAATTAGAATGGAAGTATCCATTCTGGCATCTACAAACTTTGCCGGTAGGAAACATCTTGCTCAATTAATCTGATGGTGTGTTCCAAGTTTTAAATCAGATCAGAGCATAATCAATGTTCATTCTTCTTTCCCTGAGATCTCTCTAGCTGTAGGCTTAGGAATAGCGAGTAGTATCTCACTGAAATATGTGTAGAAAGTCATTCACATGGTAATCATACCAGATTAATTACATCACTTCTTGATCAAGTTTACGGAACTGATTATAAGTGTGTTTTTGTCTGAGAAATGATTTGTAATGCATATATTTCCCTCTGAACCTCATTTTAAATAATACACGGATGAATTTCCAAACGTGATTTGTCTTTGTTTGTATTTCCTTGTCTCACGCCGTCATTAAACTGAAAGAATTAAACGCCTTCATATTTAGAGATAGAATACTGTATTAAGAAAATTTTTCTGAAGTTTTACTAAAAAAAACTTTAGTGGTGCCTCGAGGAAAAAGATAATTTGCRTTTTTAAACAATTCACAAATTATCAATTTTAGAATTCTAGCGTTTAATACCCTACAAGATCAATAATCATGGCCACACCCAGATAGGATATATGGCATATACATTTCATAAACATGTTTTTCCTGAGAGCCATACCAGAACAGTTAAACCCAGGGCCCCCTATTTTTCCTGATTAGAAGAGATATCGAGTTCTACACAAAAACACATTCGTAAAGGCCTCTTCTGTTCTTGCTATTGCATGAGACTGCTGTGCTTTGCCACTGGAACAGACATATGTTTCCATTTTAGTTTTTGAACTGGCATCACAGGTTGGTCCCAAGTACCCCAGACACCACATTGGTCTCAGGTTCGGTGGTCTTAACTGCTTACGAAGGTTACCATTCTTTTGTAGGGTAACCCTGGTGAAAAAAAACATTTCTATTTTTTTTGTCTTTGATTTTATTTTTTTACACTTATAAGAAGAAAATCATTTTAAAGTGTTTTTATTTTCTTTAAGTGAATACAACAATATATTCTATATGTGTTTTCATTTAATCTTCTATTAGAGGTCATGATCAATATATCATTACTCAAAGTTTATTGAATTAATCTTTGCATCTCTCTTTGTTCCAGAGTATAACACTGTGAAAAGAAAAAGAGTTGAAATGTGTTTTAATGTTTTTTCGTAGTACTGGGTTATTAATCATGGTTTAAACATTTTTCTTAATGGGTTTAATAGATTAATAATTGTGTACTATTAGTTTCACTATTAATCTATTTGTGCAAAGTGTGGTGTGGTTTATAAGCTTAGGTGAAGTGATTTCTAAGACACAGTTTAGTCTCTATTCAGACTCCAAGGTCCTTTTACTGATAACAGTACGCAGCTGGCCGAACCAGTGTGAGAAAGTCACATTGTTTATTTTCTCACTCTCTTCCCTCTCAAGAAACTAATCTTCTATTCTCACAGTTAACAGTAAGTTGTTCTTTGTCTGTTGGCCTGAGCGGATGGTTCTGTCT